AGTGAAAATGCCAGGAGACAAGATGGAGTACTTCATTCATAGGATAGCAAGGAAGCTAGTGTCACTGAAGTGGAGAAAGAGGGGGAGAAGAATACTGCAAAGGAAGGAGTGGGGTTTATGAAGGACTCAGGATGCCAAAAAGAGGATTTCGTCATTGATCCTGAAGATGATAGGGAAACACTGGAGGTTATTGAATAGGGAGAGTGACATGGTTGGACCTGTCCTTTAAGAAAATCACTTTGGTGGCTAAATGGAAGATGGATTGAAGTGGAAAGAGATTTGTGTCAGACAGACCAACCAGAAGGTTTTTGCAATAGTCTATGCATAAAGAGATACAGGCCTGCACCAGGGTGATAGCAATATCATACAAAAAAAGGGAGAGTATTCAAGAAATGTTGCAAAGGTAAAATCAACAAACCTTAGCAACAGATTGGACGAGAGGGGTGAGAGACAGTGATAAGTCAAGAGTGATACCTAGGTTTCAATCCTGAAGGACTGGGAGGAGGATAGTGCTCTCAACAGTAATAGGGAAGTTTGTATGGTGGGGTAGGGTTTAAGGAGAAAGAAAATGAGTCCAGTTTCGGACACATTGAGTTTAAGATGTCTGAAGAGACATCCAGTTCCAGATATCTGAAAGGCAATTGGAGATGTGAAATTGGAGGTCAGCAGAGAGGTTAGATCTGGGATAGGTAGATTTGAGAATCAGCAGCATAAAGATGATAATTAAATCTGTGAGAGTGAATGAGAATACCAAGCAAAGTTATAAGGAAGGAGAAAAGAAGAGGGCCCAGCCTAGACCTCTATGGGACACCTGGTCAGTAGGCCTTACCTGGATGAAGATTCAGCAAAAGAGGCTAGGAAGAAGTTGTCAGGTAGGAGGAGAACTAGGAGAGAACAGTATCCTGAAAACCTAGAGAGATAAGAGTATCAAGAAGAGAGAGATTGGCAGGTTGAGGAGAATGAAGATTGAAAAACCACTATTCATCAATTAGGAAGTCATTGGTAACTTTGGAGAGAGTTTCAGTGGAATGATGAGGTAGGAAGCCAGATTATAGGGGATTAAGAAGAGAATGAGAGGGGAGAAAGTAGAGGTCTTTATTGTAGATAGCCTCAAGGAAAAAGATATCCTAGGGATAAAGAAAATAGACTGAAATTTCCATTGATCTTAGGAGGAAGAAAATTCAGTTAAACACCTTGAGCACAAGTATATAAGCCAACAGGGAAGATAGTAATAACAGGGGGAAAGATGGTCTCCAGATCAGCTAAAAGAGTCCATACACCTATGAATAAATATTGCAAGACAAAGGAATTAATACCTTTGTGAAGTAGAGGCCTCTGTAGATCCTCAAGAGAGCATGAAACCACAGCAGGATGTTTTTAAAGAGAAATAAAAATTACGTAACAAAAGTTATGGCCTTCCCAGCAGAAATGATCAGCAGAACAGAAGAATTTAATCCATGATGTCAAAGAAACAAAAGAGAAAACAACTGAGGGGGGGAAGCAAATACACCAAAGCCAAGGGCAGACTGAGGAAAGAGAAGCAAAAAGCAATAACGTTAAAAGTGTACAAGCAAAACATATTGGTCTCAGAGAGAGTCAACTTAAGTATTAGTCTCCCATAAGAACATAAAAAAAAAACCTGAACACCCTGATGCAAAAAATAATACAAGGCAGCTGCCCAGAACTTCTTAACACATAAAACAAAGTGCAAATTGAAAGAATCCACAGATTGCCTCTAGAATAAAATAATATGCTATAAATGCATTTCAAGGTACCAAGATTCTGAGATGCTCACATCAGCCCCTGCACTTGCAATGGACACAGAAATACAATAGATAATAAATAATTAGGTATTCAGTCATATAAAAGTTATATTCAAGGAGCCGTTCTAACGTAAAATAATTGTATTAGGAAACAGTCTAATTTCAGTCGGGAAAAAAAAATTAAAATAATACATTTTCTCAGGTGGTTTCCAGCAAACACAAATGACATCACAAATATATACTGAATGAATGAATATAGCACTCTAAGGTACCTCCTTACCCCAGCTTACACTCGTGGGTTGAATCTCCCGGGGAGCAAATACCTCAGGTTCAAGGTGTTCTGTGGGTCCATATTTCCAAAACTATAGTTCAGAAGCCCTCACTTGTGTGTTTGCTTTTACTGTTTTTCTGGTAGATGTAATTAGTTCAAAGCAAAAGCCCTTATTGAAAAAGCATAGCACGAACAATATTAACAGAACTTTATTCCCATAAACATAATATACACTCGTCAAGTACAAAAAGTATCAGTGGGAAGAGTGAGTACACACCTAGAGTACACTAGAACACTAGAGAACACTATGGCCAAGATAGCTCATACTTGAAGATACTTGAAGACGCCACTGTGCTCTCTTTTCTTGTGGTGTTCTCATCTGGCTCCTCCAGGTACATTCTTGGCTGGACAGGTTACTTACTTAGCTGGGATACCTAGACCTTTTCTGCTCCACATCAGAAAAGTCAGTTCCAGGGCTGACTTAATTGAGCAACGTCTTCCTACCTCCTAAAGGGATAGCAAAGTACAAATGCAAGTATGAATACTTCTTTTCAAAATGTTATTACTGTTTTTTTCCTATCACTTTCAGATATGTATGTATTCATTTGTTTTGCTTAACTGCTTAGCATAGTGCCTAGAACAGTAAGTGCTTAATAAATACTTTTTACATTCATTCGTATAAGGGAGGGTTTTGGGGTGGGGAGAGTCAAATAGGAATTGAAAGGGATAGGAAAAAAAAACACCAATGTGACATTTTGATGTACCTGGGAGGAATGATCAGGGGATACCTCATTTGAAGAAATTATGGAGCATAAGGGGCAGATAACAAAGGTAGTCCAGTGTTATGGTCTTAAAAGAAGTGAAAAGAAGTATTCATACTTGCATTTTCCATTCATAGTCTACCACCTCTTTGCTAAGAGGCAGGAGGGATAGTCATGTATTTCCTTGCTAACTTCTATATCATTCTTCCCTGCGTAATTTCTTACTTGTATTGTGTTCCTCTCTGTTGAAAGGTAGAGTATTTGAAAACATGAAGCCAATCAGTAAAAGAATCTCAAGGAAAGAGATTTGCTTTTGTTTCAGAGAGAATCTTCAGGTCATTAAAATAACTCCACAATTTCCCAAGGCAGTCCAGCTTGCTCTTCTGCTGTTCAATTCAGGGCCCAGGTCATTCTTTCTTTACAACGTCTGTCCTAATATACATGAACCAATGAAGAAAGTCTATGGATTGTATGTCCAACCACATGTTGGATCTTGATTGCAGGCTTTTCTGTCTACTTTTTATACTTCTTCTGTAGATCAGTTTAACCCTTTGAGTGATTATGGGTCTTATTTAGGAGGCTCTACAGTGTTCCAGGACTTGATGCAATCAGTACAGTGTTTACATTTACAATACATTTATAATTAAGAGCATCGTGATAGCTGTTTCCAATATAGACTGTGCTGGGTATCCTCCGTGATGATGGTGAATGCTTTTGTCAAGCATGTATCTCTCCGGTTTACACCTCAAACAGTTGTGAAGCAGGTTATTTTCATTGTTTTAGTATATCTTTCAAGGAATGTTATATGATTTTGACTTATGCATGATTGATGCTTTGCTGTAATAAAGTTTTTAACATATTTTTGCTTTATCATATTAAAAAATTGTAATAACTACAGTATGATCTTGTATTCTCTAAACCTTTCAGCCAATTTGTGACTCTAAAGGCATAGTATACTTTAGAATATAATTTGTGGAAGCTGGCCTATTCCTTTCTCAAACCTTACATATACAAATGAAGCTTGATCTTTCAGGCTAAGGTGGTAAAACACAGAAACATACCTAAAAATGACAAGTGCAGCCAATTGTTTTGGACTGTTTCTTAAACTCAGGCACAGTTTATGTTGTATATTTAAGAAATATTTGCCTGATCCTAAACCATATCTTCTTTATGGGTTATGAGCATATCACTTAGTCTCTCCATGCCTCAGTTTCTTTCAACTCTAAAGTGAAGGGGGCATTAGATGAAGTCATCCTTACGATCCCTTCTGCCTCTGCATCCTCTAGTCCTCTAGCTTCTTGTTCTTTCAGTCCTCCACTTGCAACCTACTGCCCTCCTGGCTCTGTCCGTAGGGTGGTCCAGGATAACCTCTGTCTCTATCGACTTGCTCTCAGCTTTGTAAAACCACTGTTTTTGCTATGTGTCCTGGCTCTTCACCAAGAAGGGCTGGGTACAACATTCCTTTTTTGCCTGCTGACACAAAATGCCTTTTTATGGTAGAGGGCATTAAGCGATGTTTCCCTGCTATTACCCTATTACTTTATGATTAGTGTCATTTAGTGGCCATGTCAAATATCAGTTCTAAAAAGAGACTTTGTCCCATTCTGTGTGTTGATAATTTACTCTGGTATGATTTTTCATTTCTGTATTTCTTGTTATTGTTGCTTAATCATTTTGGTCATGTCCGACTCTTCATGACCCCATGTGAAGTTTCTTGGCAGAGATACTGGAGTTGCCATTTCCTTGTCCAGCTCATTTTACAGATGAGGAAATGAGCAAACAGGGATAAGTGACTTGCCCATGGTCACACAGCTAGTAAGTGTCTAAGGCTAGATTTGAACTCACAAAGATGAATCTTCCTGACTCCAGGCCTAGCCCCCTACCCATTGAGCCACCTAGCTGCCCAACACTACCTCTTATGTCTCCATTTTTAGAACTGTTATGTTTATAGCAGTTTCACAGTCCAAATACTTAAATAATGTCTAAGCTGTTTAGTCACTAGTAACTTAATCTGTATCCATGTTCATTTCCTCATCGGTGATATTATTAAAAACTAGAAAATCAGACATTTTGTAAATAGGTAGTAAATGATAGTAGTCAGACTGTCATAAATTCAAATAGATATTGATTAACAGGCAATAAAAACTAGTCATATATGTGTATGTATAAATATATATAGTGACTCTTTTTAACTCTTTATTTTAGGTTCTTGCCTACACAGAGGGACTTCATGGAAAATGGATGTTCAGCGAGATTCGAGCTGTATTTTCAAGACGTTATCTTCTACAGAACACTGCTCTGGAAGTGTTTATGGCAAACAGAAGTATGTCTCTAAATATTTCACAGGAAATTGTGCTTATAACTTTAATAATTTTAATTCTTGAATGTTGTCTAAAATTATTCTTGATTCTTTTTCTTTCTTTCAATTGTCCTGCTTATATCTAAGAAAAAGCAGTTCAGATTTTGAACCCAACCACTTTCTATTTGAATAGAGTGTAAAAAAAGTGAATTTTGTAAGATAATTATTACTATAACAAAAAAATGACAAATACTTGAAAATCATATTGTGAAATTTACGTTTTGTACTTTTCTTGTTTTCTAAATCATGTTTTCTCTTCTCACACAGCCTCAGTAATGTTTAACTTTCCTGACCAAGCAACAGTAAAAAAAGTTGTATACAGTTTGCCCCGGGTTGGTGTAGGAACCAGCTATGGTTTGCCACAAGCCAGGTAATTGGACCATGTTATAAGTTTTTTGTCATATTGTTCAGATTCAATATAATAGCTATAGAGTAGCTATACCATTATAACTAGTGAATTATATTTACTTTCAGGAATCAAAGTGTATTCTCTATTTGTAAATTATTTGAAGGAAAATACCATATTTCTGCAAACACAAGCTATATCTCTGAAGTGAAGTTTATTTGATAGAATATATTTGATAGATATAATTTTATATTAAATTCAATTAAACATTTGTTAAATGCACTTTATATGCATAGCACCAGGAGACATACAAAGTTTATTTAAAACCCCATATCTGTCTTGTAACTGGTGTTCTAACAAATAAAATAATACTCATACCTAACAATTTTTGATGAATAATATACGTGATAAATGTACACAGTGGTGGAAACCAAAGTGTTTTGTGAAGTCTTAAAAGGAAAGCTATTATCAACAAGAGTTGGGGATCAAGGATAGCTTTATGGAACATGTGACTTTTGACTTGGTCTTACTTGCCTAGGAATTCAGCAGGTGAAAGGGAGGAGGCAGGACACAATAGGCCCAGGCAGCAGAGTGATTAAAGTCACAAAGGCTGAAATGGTTGGGAGATAGATAGTCCAGTTTGTTTGGAGCATAAGCACCCAGATAGGAGTTAGATGAGATAGGGGTAGATAGATACAGTGACTCTAGAATGTAGAAGACCTCATCCCTGGCAAAGCCATTTTAACCTTATTTGGGAGGTACTATGAAACCACTGAAAATTTAGTATAAATTTTCAGCTACAGTATATTGCAAGCATTAAATAGGGTTACTTTAAAAATAGACAGTATATATCATGTGAAGTTTATCATACTGTCTTCTCAGGAACAAATCTTTCAGGTGTTAGTCAAATCTAGAATTTATTTTTAAGTATAGTTTGTGTTCATTGATAAAATTATAGTTGAAACACTAGTTCTCTAATAATAATGGTCATTGAAATTATTAATATGAATATGTATATCATAAAATATTTAGTGTATTATGAACTGAAAATACTTTTAGATTCAAAGTATCTAATTTATATGTATCTTTATACTTACTAGGAGAATATCCTTGGCCACTCCCCGACAGCTTTATAAATCTTCCAATATGACTCAGCGTTGGCAAAGACGAGAGATCTCTAACTTTGAATATTTAATGTTCCTTAATACCATAGCAGGTAAGGCATCTAATTCTTTAATCCCTTATAAACATGTTAATGTTTGTCAAAATCATCAGTACTATCATTGATGAAATACATTTATATCTTTTGAATTTATCTACAATCTTATGCTAAATTGTGAAGCATTCATTTTAAGTTTTATCAGAAAATGCGCAGCCTAGCACCTAGATTTCTTTATTGATGAAGAGACTGTTCTTTGCTCTCTTTCTGACATTTACATTTGTGTGAAGCTTTATTAGAGTCAACAAACCTTAGCCAGGGAGTGTCTGGAAATAACAATGGGAAAATACAATTTCACTGCTTCATCATTTTCAGCAACAGCAACTAGGCAGGAGAATAACAACAGTATTCTGCCTAGTACAGATGTCACTTAAATTGTGGCTTGATTGGGTTACAGCATCTTTTCTTCTTCAGACCTTAGCAATAAAATATAAAATCAGATTAGCTATTTCAGATAGTGAATAACTGCCATCAGCATAGGCAGTATTATATTTGCAAATTAAAAAGAGGCAATGGTGTTTTTGCTAATCCAGGGAATATCACTAATTAAGCATGTATGTGCATTTATACTTTTTTATTTCTAAATCATAGGATAATTGCAAATAAGATTTTAGTTTTATTCATTGTGAATAATAAAAGCTTAAAGATTCTTATGTTCTATCATTTCTTTGGCATAAAAAGATTCCAAAAACAATGGAAAGTCACTGTTACTGTGGAAGAAAATGATCATCTTTAACTTTACCAATAGACCAAGTAATCCTAGTACTCCAAGGTGGAAGTACTATAGTGTCCTTGTAATAGGAGTATAATAATTTCAGAGATCTTTGTAGCTGTTCAGAAATATGGACAACACAACACAGCTTAAATCTTTTTCTCAAGTGCTACACACTAGTGTAGCAGAAGATTGGTCATATTACTTCTAAATCTATTCCTTTTATTCCTTCCATTTTATAAATATAATTAAGGCTTTGACTAACTGGCATTGATCACTTCTTCGAATTTGTTCTCTGGCAAAATTATCAGCTGGAAAATAACTGCTCTAAACCGAGGCAATTTTTCCTGCAAACTAATAAAAAGGAGCCATGGGGGGTATAGTAATCAATAATCTGGTTTATTAATCAGCTAGCATATATTCAAAGTATATGTTATGTTAGTACTTTTGGTGATGTTATTTTGAAGAAACATAACCCTGCAGCAATTTTGTTATATACAAAGGAAAAGACTACTTTGCTGACATTAAGACTTTAGAAGAAGTTATATAAGGTTATTTTAAGTAATTTCTTTTTTATATACTATATCCCTAGTAAGATATTAGAGAAAGGTAGTTGTTATCTAATAGAATATGCTGGACTTGAAGACCTGAGTTTAAATGCCTCAAACACTTAGTAGCTTTGTGATCCTAGGCAAGGTTTCAGTTTCAGTTAAACAATCTTACATATAACTTCAAGTCACATGACGCTCCCTATTAACAGGTCCTGCTTAATTTTGACACAGATATGAACTTTTATAAAAGATCATTTCTTTTCAGGAAATAAATCATGAATTGATTGACGACATTGTAAAGCATCTTGGCCCACCCTTCTTAAATGTGTCTTTTTGGGGAAAAAAAGCCCTCAAAAAACTCTCCCTCTTAGACTGAAGAAAATCCTACTACTTCCTTTCCTTTGTGGGGAACAGATTCTTACTGTACTATCCTTTAACTGTAGTCCAGGAGACTATGTATGCTTCCTAGGTTTTCCCTTCTGATTAAGGTAGAAAGGTAGAACCTAATGACTTCTAGCAATCCTAAATAGCCAGTCAGTCAACAAGTATCTATTGAGTGCTTACTTTATTCCAGGCACTGTGCTAAGCACTAGGGATACAAAGAAAGGCAACAAGTAGTTCTTATTCTTAAGAAGCTTACATTCTCATGGAGGAGACAACATATACAAACAGAGGAGATGAAAATCATCAAAATGAGGAAGGAATTAGCAATTGAAGGACCAGAAAAGGCCTCCCATAGAAAATGGGCTTCGATCTCAGACTTTAGGGAAGCCAGGGAAACTGAGAGGTGAGGGTGAAGGCCAAAAGTCTACTTGTTATTAGAAATACTACTAAACTGCTTTTCTTTCTAAACATTTTCTTTAAATGAAATGTAGATAACAGAGTGAATTATCATCTACTTATGATCTCTGCCTCCGTTCAATTCATTGACTGTTAACCATTAACAGTCATTTATTGAATTTCCTCTATGTGAAAGGAACCTTAGAAGTATAGAGGTGCAAAACATGGTTTCTAGCCTAAAGGCCTTACTCTGTAGTTGTATTGCTACATACAATTGTGTATGTATGTATGTGTATATATGTAGTACATGTATCATATCTGTATGTGTTTGCATATATACACATACATAGATACATAGGCATACCTCAGAGATCTTGTAGGTTCAGTTCCAGAGCACCTCAATGAAGTGAATATCTCAATAGAGTCACTAGTTTTTTTTGGTTCCCCAATGCATGTAAAAGATATTTATACTATACTGTAGTCTGTTAAGTGTGCAGTAGCATTATATATTAAAAAAGTATACGTACCTTAATTTAAAAATACTTTAATGTTAAAAATACTAACCATTACCTAATGGTCAGTGAGTCTTGCTCTTTTTGCTGGTGGAGAGTCTTGCCTCAATGTCGATGGCTGCTGACTAATCTGGGTAGTGGTTGCTGAAGTTTGGGGAGGCTGTGGCAATTTCTTAAAATAAGACAATGAAGTTTGATACAACAATTGACTCTTCCTTTCACTTGAACACTGAGAGGCCATTATAGGGTTATGAATTGGCTTAATTTCAATATCGTTGTGTCTCAGAGAATAAGGAGGCCTGAAGAGAGGGAGAGAGAGAGAGGGAACAGCCAGTTAGTGGAGCAATCTGAACACATACAACATTTACTAATTGAGTTCCCCTTCTTATATGGATGTGGTTCATGACACCCAAAACGATAACAGTAGTAACATCAAAAATCACCAATAACAGATATAATAATACTGAAAAAGTTTGAAATATTGCAAGAATTACAAAAATGTAACACAGAGACATAATGTAAGCACATGCTGTTGGAAAAAACGGTGCCAAAAGACTTGGTCAATGCAGGGTTGCTACAAACCTTCAATTAAAAAAAAAACCAACACAGTATTTACAAAGCACAATGAAGTAAAGTGCAGTAAGACAAAGTATACCTGTGTGTATGTGAGTGTGCATATACATATATATGTATATATATACACACATACACATGTGTGTATGCATACATGTATATGCATGTGTTATACATATATACACATACAATTGGGTAGTGTGTCAAAGCCAACTGTAGGATAGTAGATAGAGAACTGACATTGTAACCAGGAAATTGTTTGTTCTTACCTTGACTCTGATACGTGTTGACTGTATAACAGTGGACAGGCCACCTTCTTTTTGTGTTTTAGGTAATTCTTTAAGGTTATAAATTACAGAGAAGTTCCTGACCTACATTGGTAGACAGGGTTTCCTCATCTGTAAATTAACCTGGACTAATGAAATCACAGGTCCTATTCATGTCTATATCTATTGTGTGTGTTTTAGCACATACAGAGCATTGTTTGGAAGAGATTATCCTTGCAAAAATGTTCATGGAGGCTTGGAAGAAGAAGAAGCTAATCTCGAAGACCAGTTGAGAGATTATTTCAAATAGTCTAGGATAATGAAGACATAAGTAGAAATAATAGGAATAGAATCACAAGGAAAAATGCAAAAGAATATACTTGCTACTATGAACAGTACAAAGAAATATGAGACAACCCACATTGTCAAGGAGATTATAATTTAGTTGGAGAAACAAGGCAATATTCATGAAGCTTTTTAATAATAGTAAAATACAAAGATGTTGCATTGTATGGTATATAGATAAATGCTATGAGAGTTAGAGAAGTGACAGGTTAATATGAGCTGAAATACTCAAGGAGGGCTTTCTGAAGAAGTGGGATTTTATATAGATCTTTGTGGCTCTAAATGAATGAAAAGGCATTTATTAAGCTTTTACCATGTGCCAAGTACTATGCTAAGCACAGAAATATAAAAATCAGTATTAGCCTTCAAGGTACTTCTATTGGTGTTATATGTATTATATATACTTATGGTCTGTAGCATACCATAAGGATATATTGTACGTACTTATAATAAAAGCTATTAAAGCTTTTAATAAAAACTTTTAAATCTAAGGTAAGATTTTTGAGGAGATACCCTGAATAAGAGAGTTAGAGCCAGGGAAGAGTATTTTGGTCTGGAAGAAGACCGAATAGAGCAGTAGAGGAGCTGATGGACATTTCCATTCCAATGTAAATGGCAATACTGATTTGATTGTGGTTCTCTAGAGAAGAGGCAGGTGGAAATGGAATGGGAATAGAGAAAGAGAGATGTCATAGAAGAGGGAGTGTGCATGCAGCAACAGGGCAGATGGCAAGAAGATGACTGGAGTGGAATGTTAATTTGTGTTCATGTACTTTCCAGCCGAAATAGTATAGGCCCAAAGACTGGAGTTCCAAAGCTGAGTATAGATCTTAGATAAGTTGAGAATGCATTCCAAACAGTATGAGCAAGATGTGCAGAGATGGCAATAATATAGCATATTCAAGGAACAGTGAAAACTATAATTGAGAGCTTACGTTGCAATTACTGGTAAATAAATTGAATAGGAAAAGTGAGATTAAATTATGTATTTCTTGTAATTTCACTGCAGTAGAGTTTGGATTTAATTGCATAGCATATGCATCAACATTGATCTAATTGTAGCAATTTTTGGAATAACCTTCCAATTGACTTTACCACTATGCAGATTGTTTCCCCAATATATTGATTAATATGTTGGGCAAAACCAAATCTTCACCTTGCTAAAGTCAGTACATTTTATCTGTTGATTGTATTTGATCAGCTAGGTTATTATTCTTTTATGGCAGATTAGATTAGCTGTGGTAACTACCTATAAAAC